CTGTGTTCTGAGGAAGGGTCACTGGACCCGAAACGTTAACTCTGTTTTTTCTTTAACAGATGCTGTCAGACCTGCTGGGCTTTGCCAGCAACTTTGTTTTTGTAGCTAGGAAAATGTCGGTTTATACACAATTATATAAAGCTACCATCAGTTCTGAGGAAGGGTCACCAGACCCGAAATGTTAACTCTAATTTTTCTTCGCAAATGCTGCCAAACCTGCTGAGATTTTCCAGCAACTTCTGGTTTTGTTCCTGATTTACAGCACGCACAGTTCTTTCTGTTTTTAAAATTAATGCATCTTGGGGCAGCACAGTAGCTCTGTGGTTAGCATTGCTGCCTCACAGCTCCAGGGGCCTGTGTCCAATCCCAGCCTAGGGTGACTGTCTGTGTGGAGTTTGCACGTTCTCCTCATGTCTGTGTGGGTTTCCCCCGGGTGCTCTGGTTTCCTCCCACAGTCCAGAGATGTGCAGGTTAGGTGGATTGGCCATGCTAAGTTGCCCATAGTGTGCAGGGATGTGCAGGCTAGGTGGATTAGCCATGGGAAATGCAGGGATAGGGTAGGGGAATAGGTCTGGGTGGGATGTTCTTTCGAGAGTCGGTGTGGGCTCAATGGGCTGAATGGTCTGATTCCACAGTGTAGGGATTCTATGATTCTATGATCTTCCTCATGCAATGCCATTGATCCTATCTCAGCCAGTCCCACCAAAGATGCCATTCTGCATTTCTGCATTCACCAACTTTCAATTGTCCACTTGTGACTTTAATTGATAGGAAATCCATGGACTCAAAAGCAGAAAATTCTGGCCAGAGACTTTAAATCAAGACAGAGGAAAGCAAAAGGATTTTAAATTTCAACCCTTCTTTTCAACTAAGTTTCATTCATGAGAGTCGAAAGAAATCGCGATGCTGAATTTGGTCCTCATTATAGAATTTCCTTTGGATAGTGGAAAGGTCTTTGTTCCCTTATCAAAAGATCTGTGTTGCACTTTAGAAATCTTTGAAATAATATGTTCAGAATTGAAAGTACATACCTCTGGAGCAGGTGGCACTGGAAGCCAGGCCTCCTGGCTCAAAACACCGCACCAGAAGAGGCCAAGTGATAGTCCATGTTTATGCCAGAGAAGCTGTTTAATTCTTGTATTCAAATTTATTTTTATATGAATGAAAATAGGTGCATGCAATGTAATTAAGCAATTCATTGTAACGGTAAAAGTGCATTCAACAGCATTCAGATTATCTGTCTAAAGCATTCCTATCATTTCTCACCTCAGGGCTGAATGCATACAACGTGGTGTCTCCCCTTCTAAAGCTCATGGCCTGGGATCAAATCTGGTTACAGAAGTCAGAGTGTATAACTGGTTTGCCAATCGAAGGAAGGAGGAAGCTTTCCGCCAGAAACTTGCCATGGATGCATACAATGTTCAGTCTCACAGCATCAACCCATTGCTGTCTCACAGCTCCCCGCACCACCCACAGCCGAACTCATCCCCCTCGAGTAAGCACGGTAAGCTGTTGGCCATTGTTATATGCCAGTATACTATTTAAATGTGCAAGGTGTTGCAAAGGTGCAACTGAGGTTGGGAACGGAGTGTGATTTATTATACAGCCACAATCTGAATCTAAGGCACTGACAAGATTAGACGCAACATGAAGTTTCACAACCCATCTGATTTTGACATCACTCGAAAGTAGCATTGGTTGAAGTGTAAAACCAACATTTTCTGCCATCCAATGGGATTCCTGTTTGGAGAGCTACATTAAACTTATCCCTAGGGAGTCAGCTGAATTAATTAGTTTGGCACCTCTTTTAACCTGTATTAAATGTTGGGACTTACTAGTGGACTAGTTTCAAAGTATATGGTTTGATTGTGGACACAGTTTTTCTGTTAAATCACACCTGTCCAGGATGCTCGATACATTAACATTTCCTTGCTGGGAATTATACTTTTTGTCAAAGAAAGATTTGTAAACGTCTATGTCCTAGTTTGGCTTTCTATTGGTTTCCATTATTTTTTGCTAAGAAGAAGCATTATGGAGATTGAACCCATTTGCACTGCTTTAGGAGTTTAATTCAATCAACGTAGTCATTCTGAATGAATCAATTAGATCACAAATTGAGCAAGTGTGTGGTATAAAGTTCCAAGGATGTAGGTAGTTCTTTCTCAGCTTCATGAGCCCAGATTTTCAGAGGGCCAGGGTGTGATTTCAAAATTATAGTCCCAAAGGGCACTTTAAGATCCCAGTGCCATGGGGTCAACTTTGAATTTTCAAAAGGCATACAGGATGAGGAGGGAATAGGAAAACCCACTCTCTGCCAGTTAATGGCCCCTCAAACTCCTTACTATGAGGGGGTCTATGCAGTGCAGGACAAGGTTAGATGCAACATGAAGTTTCACAACCCATCTGATTTTGACATCACTTGAAAGGAGCATTGGTTGAAGTGTAAACTTAATATTAGTGAGCCTGAGCATTTGGTGCACATTAATGCACTGCATTCTGGTTTGCCACAGAGTCAAGTAACATTTATTATTCATTGTGTTGTAAGTGCTTTTTCTGGGATATACTTGCATCCGCACATGCGCTGGACCTTTAATAGTTTTATGTGGCCCATTCTATTTTCGTCAATGCTACTCATACTAAAAAGAGTGATAAGGAAGGGAAATAAACAATGGAGGGCAGGTGCTTATAGGGTTGAAATGAAAATCAAATGATAGTCGCCATTTCTCTGCATTCTTTTGCTTAATGAAGCTTTGGGGAATTTTGTTTAATTTTGTTGGAAGTACTGCACGGCAATATAAGTGGCAGCACAATTGGTGACAAAAAGTTGTACATCATTGCACATCCTGCAGAGACAGCAATATACCTTTATGTCCACAATACAAACAGCATATATGAGGGATCCTTTAACATGGTGCTAGGTGACTAATTCTTCAGTGAGATTCCACTATATCAAGAGAAAATAAACATTACAAAGTCAGAGCACTTTATTATTTTTCATGGTAAATGGACATCACCATAAAGTCCAACATTGATTAACAAACCCTAATTATCCTTAAACTAAGTCACTTTCTCAGCCATTTCAGAGGGCAGTTGTGGGCCTGGAATCACGTGCAGGCTGGGTAAGGATGGTGGATCTCCTTCACTAAAGGGCATTAGTGAATCAGCTTATTTTTATTACAACAATCAATGATAGTTATCGTGGTCACTGTTCCTCAGGTGAACTTTATATTCTAGATGTATTAATTGAATTCAGATGCAACCCACTGCTGTGCTGGGGTTTGAATCCATGCCCTGAGAGTACTGGCCTGGACTTCTGGAATACCTGTCTGGTGGCATTACCACCCACATGACCAGCATCCCATTGACACTGCAGATACCATTGAGGGTAAAAGGTAGATTCAATTACAAAACTTCCAATGTAATTCTGGCCTCAAGCTTTATTCCAATGTTGAATCAAGTGGGAGAATTCAACAAGAGGCAGCTGTTGGATGTTGGATCCCAACATAATCCCCAACAACATCTTCCATTCCTCGGTCTGTGCATTAAGAGGAGACCCACACTTATCATTTCTTTCACAATCTCAGGATGATCCAAAGTGCTGTACAGCTAATGATGCACCTTTGAGGTGTGGTCACAATTGTAATGTAGGAAATGCAGGAGCTGGATTGTGCACAGCATGATCCCACAAATAGCAATGAGACCTTTTCCCTCACTTAAATGTGGTGATTACCAAGTGCATTGATTTGTGGTGGGTTTTGGTTCAGGTGAAGTGCGGGACACCCAATGTGATGAGGATGAGTTTCTTATGAATGGGGTGAATGATGTGAATCCTCCACAGGCTGGTCAGCTCAAGGCTTGGGCTATTCCTTCCTTCTTGGTCCCATTTTAATGCTCCCTCCCTAAGTTGGTGGGAATGATGTTAAACCTGGCTGGTGGAAATTGGGGCGGGACATTGCCTGAGACTTCTAAGGAATAAATACCAATATAAAATACATAAGGTGGATGGAAGTTTGTGACTTGTCAGTCAGAGAAGAAAGACCCACAACTTTGACTGGGTAGTTGAAGACAGTCTGAGAGGCTCAGATGAGTCGGACCTTCATCTCAGCAAAGAAGGAGACCACTCAGCCCATCAAATCCATGCCAACTCTCTGCAGAGCAACCTAGAAATCTCCATTTTCTTGCTCTATCCCTGTAGGCCTGCAAACTTATTTCACTCAAGTATCATTCCATTTGCTTTTGAAATCATTCATCATTCATCCTGTCCACCAATTATTCATTCTCAATACTTTCCACCACTTTTATAGGCATTGGGCTACAGGCCATTACCTGTTGCATAAAATGAAAATCTTACTCCCTTCCTCCCCATCCATATTGTCCAAAATCTTAAAAGTATGTCCCTCACTCCTTACCCCACCATCTAATAGGAACAGCGTTTCGTTGTCTATGTTATCTCAAGCTGTCATAATTTTGTATATCTCTGTCAACTCTTGCTTCAATATCCTTTGCTCCAAACAGAATGTGTTTACTTCCTTCAAATTAACTCTCTCACAAACTCTCGCTCCCTTCCAAAAGTCCCCGATGAATGCTCCAAAAATGTAACTTAACATCACCTCTCCTGGACACAGTGCCGTCCTGTGGCTGGTATCAGTGGCACTGTGCCAGACTTCTGTGATTTGTCCTTAAAACTGCAGCACCAATTAATTGGCCCCCTGCCAGTCTCTATGCTGCCAGAATCCTGGTAGGGGATGGTGGGGGCAGAAACGCAATGGCTTCTGCCTGTCTGCTATTTTAACTCCCTGTCCCTTCCTCCTGAGCTGTACCTTTCCTGCAAGCCAACTAAATTATAAGTGGGACTGATGTGTTTGGAGCTGATAGATTGAACCCTATGCTCAGACTAATGGTGGAATCAACAGTGAGGGAATGGAGCAAGGTCCAATAGAGAGAGAAGAGTGTATGTGGGCACTGTGTAACCTCATTGTGGCAGGTGGTACTGCATAACCTAACTGTAGAGGCAGGCTAGACCCTCAGCTTTGTCCTGATGAATGGCCATTAGGACAGAGTACTGAAAGACTGCACTTGGTCACCATCCTGTACCACAGTGTGCGTGAGTACTGTCTGGAGAAGGAGGCAGGAGAGAATTAAAGGCCAGGGTTGCCAGGGAAACAAGTCACAAAATAAAATCAGTAAAGAGAGAAATAGAATTAAAAAGAACAGCGTAGAAAAAAACAGAGAGTACAAAATGGAGCAACAAAGGTTTGGTGAGTGATAGTAGAAATGTCATTGTGATTCTGACAAGATCGGAAAACAATTCATATTGTTCTTGTACCTGCAATCTACACACTAAAGTTAGCAAGCCCCTGATCCAAACAAAGGAACCTGGCGGGCAGTGGGGTCGTGGGGAGGTCACCCTGAGGTCGCCATCCCAAGGATGAAGAGGCGGGTGGGCAGGAGGGGGGGAGGGGGTGGGGGGGAGGGTGGCACTTGGACAGGGTGGGGTGGGGGTTGGTATGTTGGGAGGAGTTCATTCTGCTGACCCTGACTAGCAGTCTTAGTGTCATAGGCCACTCAGTTACAAGACACCCTACAAGCACATTGTCAGCAAGATCAGCTGTTTTCAGTGTCGCACTCGGGCTAAAATAATGCAACAGCATGCAGTCAGTGTTGTCATGGCATTGTGTCCATTATGCATGCTTAATTGAAAATTAAGCAAGTGCTTTGAATGAGCCATGTTCCCCTTTGATCTCTCCTGTCCCTCCAGTGTGTACTCAGTCACTGCGTGACATCCTTTGTTTTTTTATATGAGGGGACTGCATTTGTGGAATGGTATCCATGTTAATTTATCTTCACTCTGCAAGGCGGTTACAGGCTGCCCCCTTTATGTTTCCAGCTCCAGACTCAGCCAGCAGGAGCTGTCCAGTCTATGGGATGCAATGACATCCCATTCTGCAGTCGTCTTTAGCCGCCAGGAATGATGGTCCTTTCTTAACGCAGTCTGTGAATTGGGATAGGGGTCTCAAAAGGTCAGGCGTGTCGGAGGAGAGAATTTGTGAATTTGCTGGAGACTGGTACTGATATTGATTAGGTTGCGAAAAAGGAGGAAATGAGCTCAGGAAATGAATAATGTGGGGACAGGGGAGTGCATGAATGAGTCAATGAACTCTAATCTTTTTAACCTTTCCCAGGGCGCATAGGTACAGAGCATTTTGTTGGATTGTCACTTCTATGACTCAACACGAAAACATTCTTTCTTTAAAATGAATAAACTGTACATGACATGCCCAACGATTGTTCACTTTAATTATAATCCTTCAGATCCCCAAGATTCCTTGCAACCAGTTTATGGTCAACTAACTCCCACATGAGCTGCCTGGTAGAAATGGTTAATAATTGTTGGTAAGAGAGTTGCTTTGTTTCATTAAGTACGGTGCTATTAAGCTCCTTCTAAAACACAGTTATACTGTACTGGACCATTGGTCTCTCCAATGACAACAGTAGACTGTGAAT